ATTATCTATTATATTAGGCTGGGTTGTATCTTCTATTTAAAGACCACATTAGATAGAAATTATCTCTTTGCTAACACGTCCTTTCCACTAGACAGTAAATACCCTGAGACAAGAAATTTAAACCTTTTCTACTATGTATGCCCAACATTCTAGTACTCAATAAAATATAAACTGAACTATAATCCAAATTTACCATTTAGAGCCTATTACATACTCAGAGCCTAAGAAATGAAAGAAATCACTAAATATATTTTTAAAAAACTATGTCTCTGTCCTGTTGCCCAGCCATGAAAAATCAAGGAACTAAATAAAAATGGCAGCGTAAGAAAAAGAGACAGGAGTATATTTAGCCCCAAGCTCTTGGTGAATATAGAAAGGTGGAGAACACCACAAAGCAAGCAAGAAAGGATGTGCATCGTTAAGGTAAACATAAAAATCTTTGAAATAGTTGGGAAAAAATATATCCCTCGAATACAGAGTATCTTTTAAAACAGTTTAAGAAACAAACACTTAAAAGGGGACTATTAAAGCTGATTCTAGTTGTTTTTACCAGTGTTCACTTTGTAACTCTGTACAATCATATACATACATGAAACTGGTGAAAGGTACCATTAGAAGAGAACACACCTTATTTTATAGCTCCTTTATTACCTTTTTTCCACGTTTTCCTTTATGACGCACATCCTTGTTGCCTTGGTCCAAAGAAGGACCCAACTGTCTCACATCAGTGCCAGAGGCTTCCCTCAATTGGTCAGAGGGGTGTCTAGTTCTTCCAGGGATTTGGAATTCATTTTCTTCTTCTGCTCTGTACCAGTTGGTCTAAGGAGTAAAGGACTATGCTTAACTTAAATCAGAATTTGTTTTAGATGACTTTCCTCCAGGTACATTATACCATGTTCTAATGATAAACTTGTTCAAATGTCAGTGTTTGACAGTCTATAAATAACAATTACTTTTGCTGTTTTCTATATTTTTGTTTTATCTCATCACCAAACCTCAAACCTCTAAGTTCTTTGGTTTATAACACATGGTCTAAAATAAATTTCAAAAGACAAAGTATAAAAGATAACTTACAGCAGTTGTTGGTGTAAGTTATATTTAAATCAGATGCAGCTACATTTAAATTTAATAATGAATACATTTTAGGAAATATATACAAGACAAAGTGAGTTTAAAGGGAAATGAACAAAACTCATGTCCACTTTACTAAGCATTGTTGGAAGGCTGATTTTTTGTTTGTTCTCTGCACTTAATACTAAAGGTATTTTGCTAGCATACACTTTGCTGAATGAATGCTTAAGAGTAAAAACAATTAAAATTGTAACTAGTAACTAGCTTTTCTTTACGGTTGAAGTTCTGGGACAGTAAAGCCATACAACCAAAAAATAAAATTGAACAGAGAAAATAAGCATATGACCTAAAAGTCTGTTTAGTTTCTTTCCTAAAGCCCAGTTATGTATGTCCACTGAATGTAGGAGTTAAGGGAGAAACAGCTGCATATTATTAACAGGTTTGTGAATACTTACTTAGGAGTGTCATTTCAGTTAGTAAACAGCAAAGCCAAGCAGAACCTAGATCCATTTGACCAGGTTCCTGACTTTGTAAACTCCTCCCCATGAGCATATTGAGGCTTCACACTTCTGTATGGCAAGCATGGAATTTGTTAACATAGCTTAACTAATTGCTGGCTATGCTAAATGCCTGTTGATTACCAGGTCATTCTCAGGGCTTGGGAATGGGGCTATTTTTTTTTTTTTTT